CAGAAGATAGCATAAAAGCTAGGCTTCACGTTCATGTTGTTTTTCAAATATAAATTTTGTTTTTATTGACTTAACTTCCATGTGAATTTTTCCTTCTAATCCACATATTCCTACAGTATTTGCTACAGAGCAAAAGTCAATGATTTTCAAAACATCTCCATTAAGTTACACAAAAGTTTTACAAACACCCAAATAACTGCCTATATCAGAAAATACCAAGTTTGGATACCAAGGAGGTGAAAAAAAGCCTCTTGCAGTCTCCTTTTCTTTCTCCTCAAAACAGACTACGTGCAAATATAATCTAAAGCTGTGTCAAAAGCAAAGTTAAAAGAGACAGGTTTCAGCACCAGACTAGGGTATTCAGGTTTGCCATGCAGTCAATGAAGAGGTTGGCTCTGCCAGACAGGTGGTTGCTCCCAACAAAGCCAGGTGTCTAAAGCAGCAGGATGAGTCACCCTCTGGTAGAGCTTCTTGGCTATTTAATGGCTGGTCTTTTTCTAAAGGCCAGCTAAACCAGCTTCCTTCACACTACCACATGCAACGCATATTCTTATATGGCTTTGAGCTCTTCATAGCCACAGTGCTGTCGTGTTTTAATACACAGTTGAGAAACTCACTATAAAATGCCCTGAACAGTATGTACACAGAGCCTGCTTTAAACCAGCCCTCATGGGTTTAACTAAACTGATTTCCATTCTTCAAGACAGACACTTCCTTACTTACTTTTCTCCAATCTCGCACTGAATTCGGTTGTGCTTCCAGTCAAACAAAGAACTGGGTTTTGGAATAGTGCTTGCATCTGCAGGCTTTCTTGATGCTCCCACATTGTACCTAAGGAACTGTTATCCTATCAAGAGCTACTTTATTTGAACATCTGATCCCTAAACCAGCTTTTAGTTCAGTGGAATCCCTCTGAGATACTACCAATCTAATGCAAAGTATCCTGGAGTGCTGTACATGACAGGAGTGAGCAATCATTCATTTGAGAACTGAGCTGACTATTTCCACCATTAAGACCAGGAGTAACAGGATCTTGTTTGTAGATACGCATTTAAATGCCTCTGGATTAAGATTTTTCAGATGTACTTATTTTATGAGCAATCACCTTACAGTCAATAAACCTGGTTTTATACACTGGGACTACTAGCAGTTTGCAATCAAGTTGTATCAGTGGGATGTTTCTTTCACTGCACAACCCTCACCTGCCCTGTTGCATAGACGGTTTTAACAGACCCTCGTAAGCACTGGGTACAGTTCAGAATCACTACTTTTCGTTCAGCTGCTTTCTTCAGTTCTTCCAGCACGTCCTCTCTGTTGTTTGGGGCATTGCCACTTCCATAAGTTTCAAGTACAATGCCTTCAATTGGAGGCTGAAGGAATGCTTTAACCTGTTTAAAAACAAGACAGAGGAAAGAGACAAAAGGTATGTTTAAGTCATCTTAAAATTTTCATGTGTGGCACCGCATTTTTAAAAATGGTCTATTCCTGCTCTAGTTTTAAAGGCTCTCATGCCTTATAGTCTTCTTATGCCCTTCTGTCCTCCCCATCTGCAATAACTGAGACTGTAGAATAAGTTTCAAAAAAATGAGAACTTCCCTCTCTAGCTTCCTTTAAAATTCCTAGAGTTATTACCTGAGTGTGAAAAAGGATGCTATTGTTCAAGGGCCATTAACAGGCTATACTGTTGCACCGTTTGGTAGAATAAAAATGTGGATTTACACTCATGAAATAAATGTAGAATTATCAATTGAGATTACAACTCCCCACCCCTGCCCAGATTTTTTTGCTTTAGCAAAGAGTTTTGTAAACCAACGTCTGCCTAATAGAGAGACTATTTTACCTTTCAGGAAAGAACATTCTAATGAAGATTGGAGTTTTTTAACCAAAAACCCAATTGATTTAACTCAAAGAGGAAAAAAAAAAAAAAAAGAGGCACTAATATATATCCTGGGCCAGTTGATACTGAGTTTGTTTGCCTCACTGTAAGAGAATGCCTACCAAAGTCCTCTTCCTAGAAAGATGTATTTTAAACAACCTAGATGTTTCCTTGCTGATCACATATGCTAAATGCAATACACTGTAAACCCCCATGAGGCTAACTATGCAGTTGGAGTTTTATTGCAAATATACAACCCCTCTGTCTTTCCATCTGTTCATATTCACCTAAAAAGAATGGTGATATAATTGAGGAGTGCTGCTTAAACTACTGAATTCAATTTAAGATGGCAAGAGCCACAAAAGACCCATCAATTTAATGGAACTAATATTAGACAATAATTTAAAGACTAATCTACCTAAAATCACAAACTGCAAAAGAGTTTCTAAAGGCAAAAAAAAATCCCACTTCTCATTTTCAGCTCTCTGTGAATGCTGAGGGTCATGGTAACCACCAGTGTGAGACAAAATGAACCCTAAAAAAGAAGCATGAGTTGTAGAAATAATCACACTCCACCCACCATATATTGTATTCTTTGACAAGATATCTGTTAATATGCCTCAATATGCAGCAAGAGAGCATTTTCCTGGTCATTGTAGCCTACACCTGTCTACAAAACCACACCTGACCTATTTATGAGCCCTGATAAGAAATTAATTTTAAGTTTCAAAGCCCAGGTAGCTATACAAAAGATATTTGAAAAGCTTTTATCAATAGTTTATGGCATATAAAAATAGTCTTTTAATGACTTGATATTTCAAAATAGCATTTATCAGAAGAAGACAGATCCTTTCCTTTCCCTCCAAAATCCCAATCACTGCTACAAACCATGCAGCTTTCCTACTTCAGGTAACTAATCAAGTATTGGAGCATCACTTCACCCACTTCCAAAGTGAAGTGGTGACACTTACAGCAGCAGCCGTGATTCCTGGGAAGATTCTCAGAAGTCCAACATTCCTGTTCATATTGGTGTGAACTCGAAATTTCTTTTTGGTATTGGCTCTCCACACTGTTTCCCAGTTTACTATGAAGAGAAATGGCCTTTTTAATTTAATATTAACACGTACTATCAAGTACACTTGTAGTACTTCATGATTGCAACTTTGTTTTTAAAACCATTCTTATGTAGGGGATTCATGAAAGACAATGTATTTTTTAAAGAGGAAATGAAGGCCCATTTAAGACAGCAGAAATAGCAGTTGATCTAACATGCCTTATTTATTAGGTGCCACAAAATATATCTTTAAGACTACATTCAAGTCAGGCTCAACTGTTTTATATTTTAAATTTAATTCCAAAATAGTCTGGATTCCAAGCTGTATCAGTATTACTAGTCAATATTCACAAGCTAGTGCCCTTCAAGGAGATATTTAAGATGTATGCTTGCTTCAGTTCATTGCATTTCATAGCAAAGACTTCTAAAATTGATATTTTAGGCAATGACCATTAGTGAACAAGATTGTCTATCAGACACAAAGCTGTATACCTCTACTACAATCTCTTCAAAAGAGAAGTCTGCTTGCTGTGAAAAGCATATGAGTGCTAAACCTGATGGCTTCTTGATGCTGAACACGTCCTGTTAGTGCCACCTCTCCAGTTCAGAGTGCTCAGAAAGCCTCAACCAACAGAACATCATGCCAGTCTAGCACAGGTGAGACATTTACTTGTCATACACTGACCTGAACTCCACTGTTATGTAGCTGGCCTGATATCAGCCTGGATTCATGTTCAGAAAACAGAGCTTCATCTTCTCAGACATGAGAGATGACAAATGCAGTTACTGTTGCTCCTAATCACCTCCAGAGTTTATTAGGTAGTTACTAACGATTAAATAAAATAGCAAGGATTCAATTAACTCCGATTATACATTTAGAGCCAGAAGCCAGCTGTTTAACTAATAGTTTGTTTGTGTTGCATTATTAGAAGCCAAGTCATGCATTATTGATTTCAAAATTTTACTACTTCAGTGTAGGAGCACAGCATTGGTAGCGCTGACGGCTCCTACAAGGCAGTGGAAGAGGTTTAACAAACAGCAGCCAACAGCTCAGAGCGTTGTGCTTCAAAGAAAATAGCCTATGCTGTAAAGCTGCTGTTTCCCCATCGTGAGTTAAGCTTTTTAGATTTTGGAGAAACTCCCAAGCAGCAAGACAGATAAAAGATCTGCGTGCATAATACTGACTTGCTCTCAGCCATGCAGAGTTACTCACACCAATTACTTGCAATCAGCAGACAGCCACTTGCAAAAAAAAATTCAGAGTACATTTAAAAGCCTCCACTGAAGCCTACTCTATTGCCCTCTTACCAGAGATACTAAAAACTACACAATCCATTAAGTCAGGACAGAAAATAGCAGTCTCCTGTAAGATTTTATGAACTTCCCTTTCCTGTTGTGGTGCCCTGTCAGCAATTAAAGCCTCTGTTCTTTCTAAAAACTGCCATACGTCGTTAAACAGGTCACAAGCAGTTGGCTTGGCATCATGTTTGTCCGACCAGTCACACTGCAGCACATGGATTCCAAATGCCCTGGGATTGGGAGAATACAAGCATAGACCATTTCTACAGTGTCTTTCTTTGTGCTAAGCTGTCCAGCACAATTCTGAAACTAGCTGGCTGGACTTAGTATTTAGCCAAGTAGTTCTCAAAGGCCTCCATGAGCTTTCCAGAGCGAGTTAGAGACCTGCAGGAGGTACAGGGGTAAATGTAGAAGCCATGCATTTGTGCTACATGAGCTTCATAGGCCTGGTTAATCATGTTAAGAGGCAGCAGCATCATGCAATAAATTCATTCCTCTCAACTTTCTAACACAAAAGTTAATTCTTTAAAAGCAGCCTCCTCTACAAGAAGGGATGGCAATAAAATTGTATCACAGCTTGCTTTCTTTTATCCTCCATAAGGTAGGAGTCCCTGCCAAAACTTCACAAATGCATACTACTACGTTTGGCAACTGTCAGCATCCCTAATGCCTGTAATGAACTTGAAGAATGAACTGAGTAAACCTGCCTTGGCATGGATCACTAAGATACTGCCAAAAGCAGAAGACCAAGGAAAGAGATCAGAGGATAGGTTCAGAAGTCAGACCTATACCAGGCCTATACCTGTACTCTTGGAGTACACTCTACCAAATAATATATCATCTCCAAGATAAATTTAATGCATGCAGACATAGTATAGTGATGTAATTCCAAACTGTATTTAAAAAAAAAAAAATTAAAGATTGCCTCTGAGTTAACATTCGCTTGGTCATGAACCTCGTCAGCCTACATAACGTGTTTGGTGCTGCAGACTCCACAGATGTCAGTTTTCCATTAGGCAAACTAGTCTAAAAGGCAGAACAAAAAGCAAATGTGATGCAAGAGCCAAAGACAAACAAATATACATAAAAGCCCGACTTCACCTCAGATTTATTCAACTCTGTTGAATACAGTGAGGCAGAGCACCATGCAGGGGAAAAAAAAAATTAAAAAAAAACCCGGGGCATCCTGAATCTCAAAAATTACATCCCCTAAAAGGAAAAGTATTTATGTCACACAGCTAAGTTCAAGCATCTCCGCTGTACTGTATAAACCAGCTGTCTTGCAGCCTATAGTCATATGACACAGCAATCTCCTTTTTTTTGTTAAATTAAAAATAAAAAAAAAGTAAGAATCCTTAACAATTCTTAAGTAAGAAACTCATATACAAGCAAGTGAAGTAGAAAAAGCTGTCTTTATTGGTGTCCATAACATTTTTTTTTCCTATGGATGAGTGAGTAATTAGGGATACTCAGTTTTAGCATAGCACAGAAAACAGCAACCTGTTCTGACTTGGATGGCCTGTACTTGTAAAGAGTTTAAGTGATACAGTGTACTGCATTATGCAAATATGGATGCAAAGCTGAGGAACAAAGGTAAGCTAGCTACTGGTGTGGCAAAACAGAAAGTAAGTTTTTTAAAGCAATGTACATAAAATAAAGATGTAATGGCTATTTATATACTGTATCCAAAATGGCTTGCATTATTCAAGGAGACTGCATTCAAGATGTTAAGGCCTTTTGTTTACTCTTCCAAACCATCACATAAAAACAGATTTTCCAGTCTCCCTCTACCTACCGAAAACTATAGCCTTTAAAATTAGAGTCAAAAAATCACATCCTTATCTTATGCAGCTTTATTATCGTACACACGCACAGAGAAATACGGTGAGAGGATTAGTGCAGAAAAAACATCAAGCTGACTTATAAATACAATAAAAAAGAGAAGCAGCTCTACATGGATCACAAAGCAGCAACCCCCCCCCAGTTGTTAAAGGGTGCCTACGCCACAACACAGGTTTCAACTTTTATAATGGGAGAGCAGCAGCTCAGAGCGACACCTCCCTTAGGAGTGGTGACTGAATTCCGAGTTATGAAATCAAACAAGAAATACAGCTTTTCTCGATTGCAGAGCTCCAGACAAACAGCAGCGCCTTCTTCTCATCCTCCTCTGCAGGGCTACAGGTGAGCCCTACCATTATATAAGCTGCCCCAGCACTCATTACGATTCATGGTGCAGCCAAGGGGTGGGGAGCACAGGCCAACCTATGGCTGTGAATTCCTGAAGGAGGCAAACAAGCATAGACCCCCTTTTTTTGGCAGTTTGTTAAAAAAATAAAAAAAAAAAAATCAACACACATTTATGGACTGGTGCCGTTGCAACAATCAATACACTCCCTTAGAACAGAGAGGGGACAGGGACTGAAAGCACTCCAGTGAAGAGAGGTGGCATTTACCTTAATACGTAAATGACCTGGGCTTTTTATATAATATATATAATTTATATATTTATATAAATATATAAATTTATATATTTATATAAATAACCAGAACTGCCAACCAAGATGCAGACTTGGCCAGTAACTAATAGCTTTTCTCTAATGAGACTGATGGGTAGATGAGCCCAAAAGGGCCTTCTAACCTTCTGCTGCTGTACCACATCTGCACACACAGTCACACGGGCTGCTTGTCCCCTGCACAAGTTGTTTCTCATCATATTGTCCTGTACATGTGCACCACTCCCAGAAGTTACATGCATCTGTGATGAAGAAAGTCCAGCCACAGCAACAAAGCTAGTTTCATGTGTGCTTCATCAGGACAGTCAAGAATAGAGGAGAGTAATCAGTTACAAAATATACTGAGAATCTTTACACATTTCAAGTGGAAGAGTCCTCCTGGTCTCCCCTGTTTTCAAAATATGGGAGAAATAAGGCAAGGTCTTTTATTTGATAGGCTTTGAGATTTTAGAAATATTTTTGGTTATTTCTATATGTACCACACTTGAAATGTTTCTGTGATTCTGTGATTTCTGATTCTGCCGGAAAAGTGTTTCCCATCAGCACTGGGTTTCTTACTAAGCTCGAGACTGGGCTAGCATTTTTCACTTCTTACAGGAGTTTCTTGTGCTAAGTTGAAAGCCTTGAGGAAGCTGACACACTTGCTCGTCTAAAGCTGGGCGATGGGACTCTTAGGTGTTGGTAACACAGCTAAGGATATGGCCAAGAATGCAGCCAGTTATGGGATTAGAAATCCACTAGGAGCCTCACCTAGAGAGGGAACAGCGAGAAAAATGGATATCAAAAACGAAGAAGAGAGCTGCAAGGGTAAGGGAGGGAAGAGGACTAAGCTTCTCCCTTTCATCTCTACCTCTGAAGTAGATTGTTGCTTTTATATGCTATACCCAGCCACGAACAGCATTTCTCCTCATTCCTGTGTACCAACCCATGATCCCATTACGGTTCCCACTTCCTCCATCCTGCCACTTTCCCCCTTCTGCTCCTCTGGAATTTTCATTCCCAGCTTTGTTAGAACTGGGAAGCCTGAGGAAGAGTTTCTGCACGTGGCCTACTTTTCCTGACATCCTCAGGCTGCTCTCCATAACACTGAATCAGCAAGAGTCAGCCCTGTCTACAGGAGGATTAAGACATATTATATAAAGTCATTTGGGAAAAAAAAAAGGTAGAAAGATGCTAGATTTGTTTGGTTTGTTTTTAAAAGACCAAGTGGTTCCTTGTCTCCGTGAAAGCTTCATATGAGGACTGTACAAGCAAACTAAAGGGAGACAGCGATGTTTCAAACAATTACTTTGGACAAAATAAAGCAGCACTAGTAGACTGCACATACTATAAACTATGTTCTTTCAAAATGAAACAATCCTTCAATAGTGACACCGTCATCTTGGATAAATGATGCTACTCCAACTGGGTAATCAACTGAAGCAAATAAAAATAGAGCCTATCACACCATCAGTTTTTAAATCAGAAATCCCCATTGATACCAATGAGGCATTTACTGAAGACATAATGGGATCCAATATGGGCCAAGGGAAGTGCTTAATAACTTTCTCATTTTTCTACTCTGGACAAGGAATCACAAAACAGTTCGTTCAAATCCAAGGGAGAAATAGCACACAATTTGCAGCTTGATTTCATTATTGATCAGTCAGTAAAAAGAATTTATTTATACATTATTTGATGCAGTTAATACAAACCCAAGAAATAAGATTCCCCCAATTTACTGCAGCAATCAACTGGCAGCATTTCTGTTGATTTCAGATACATCCTGTCTGACACAGCACAGTAACACAACAGTGGCACACTCTCTACCTGAGAGATGTCTTACAGGCAACTACAGTATTACACAGGCTTCCTCAGTTTGCACCTGGCTGCTACAATCACAGCACTCTGATCCTGGAACTTTGTTAAGTAACTCCCACTCATTAAGTGGAAGGGATAAGTTTATATTCCAAATTGCAGAATGCTGTTCTCTAGTAGTAGAAACCATCATAAAGGCACATTGCATGGCACAGGGCTGGAACTCCTACTGCCACTAACAGCACCTAGCAAAAGAATTGAGGAACACCCTCCTGTTCCCATTTTTTTGTAATAATGGAGATTTTGATCAAGTCCTGCTCCTATTTAATACATAGTCTACCCAATAACATGTTATATTTTTCAAAACTGTCCTTTAGCATATTTTTTGGCAGCTCCTCATTTGGCTAGATTCCAAATGTGTCTCTCTTCTCCCCTCTCCAAAGAAAGGGTGCCATTTATCCAAGAGCACACACCAATGTGTTAATGACTTTGCAAATGGGTACTGAAACCTTCAGATAGTTTTTCCCTTCCTTAAGAAACTGATACACAGAAATTACAGGGAACCTGAGAAAGTTTGGGGGGAAAAAAACTTCATACAATGCATATTTTAGGTCTGCTGTTTTCAGTGTGCTTGCAGTTCAGATAGGTCCCAAATATCCAGTAAAACATCTTACACATTGACATGCATCAAACAGAATCTGCTGAAGCTGCAAGTACTCTGCAACGACTTCTTTGCTTGATTTCAGAGCCCAGCATGGTCACTAATGAGATTAAACTCTTTGTTCTTTCAGTCCTCACTCCCTCTTTTTTATCTTTAGACCAAGCATTTTCATGACACAGGGGCCACGTTCCCTCTGGTTAGTCTGGATCTTCAGTCAAAGTCAGTCTAGCTCACATCTATGCTCAATACATAAATGCAGCTGAGTCACAAAATCTCAGTTGTACCAGTATTTAAACAGGTTCAGAGCAGATGGAGTCAAGCTACAGAGCTTTCAAAGATATTTTTGAGATTAAAAATGACATTTCAACTACATAGGCACAGATTCTTTTCAGTTCTATTGCATGTGGCATAAATTACATGGCTTAAGAGATGATGTTGCTTACTTGTAATATCAACCTCAGCATTTGCAAGTGGAGGCAGGTTAGGTGAGGAAAAGGCATTGAAACTCCCAGCATCCACCTTAGTCACCCTATTTCCCCTGTACAGTTTATTATAAAAATACAGGCACACCTGCAAGACAAGTAAAGAAACAGGTCTATGAATAAGCCAGTAATTAAAAGATGCTGTAGATAAATACTGTAGTCCGTCCTTTATAAAGTGTTTTCTAAATGTTTAAAGCAACTCAGAGGCTAGTAGATGTTTACAAGTCTAACCCTTTCAAAAAGAGCTGGCACATCTGTCACACATTGGTTTAAGAATTTAAGAACAAAACAAGTAAAGAGTTAACTAGTTTCATAATCCTCTCATGAGACATAGTCTGGGAGACAGAAAATTTGCCTGAGTCTACTTCAGAGATAGAGGAAAGAAACAGTGGGCTTTTTAATAAATTCATGAGTTATATATAAATTCAGAGTCCAAAACATAACAAAAGGCCTAGTGAAAATGAGGATAATTTTCAAAAGAGTTACCACACGTAAATAATTACGCTCCCTCTCAAACCTCCTAAAGTTTGTCAATTGGAACTTGAAGGAAAAGAGATACCTCAAAGCTGTTATCAGTTCTTAAGATCTGGGCCAGTCAGCTATTGTTGTTGTCTTACAAGAACTGGCTTTGGGAGCATGGCAGACGTGAAATGAGGTGAAACCTGACCATTTTTCTCTGATTTTTGGGCTGCACAGCACAAACATCTTTAAAGGCAGGGTGCTGAGACTGTGGAAGTACTTCCATGTCCACTAGAAGTATCGCTCTCAACACTTCAGTCTTCAGGAACTAGAGCTAAAAGACATACCAGTACTAGAGCAACTACAGAATTTCGAAGTAACATTCAGTTAAAAAACTGACTTAGAAGTGTTTCGGACCCCACATATGTGCAAGAGAACTTCCGATTTCAAGTCTCTTGCAATGTATAATTTCAGACTTCATAGTCTTTACAGATTGTACATGAGCAAATGGGATATGACCAATGGAAAAACAGCAGCTGCTTTGCCATGCAAGGACTGTTACCTCAGTGGAATACATTCATCTTCCTGTTTAAGTGCAATTCCTTACTGCCTACCAGATATTTTGTGTATATAAGTATGTGTCCTGGCTAGAGGGAGAAATTAAGCTGCTGAGATGGTCTTCACAGGCAAACAAACCTCAGGAATCACGAACTGCCCAGCCATCAGCAATGCCCCCAGAAGGTTGTCTCGGCCGTCATTCTGCAACTCGTATATGGGCACCTGAAGAGCAGAGACTGAAATTACACCCTGGCCCTTATGTAAAGCCTACACAGCAGAAAAAATGAGTCCAACTTATGCAATACAAATATATGAATAATTTATGTAACAATGATTTATTACAAAAAAAGTTTTCTTCATCCAAACTATTTTAGACTGCAACAGATGGCAAGATTTCTCCCTGTGCTTAACAGACTTTTATAATTAAAGTGCTTAAAAACTGATATAGAGATGATTCTGGTGTGATTAAGCATATTAAGACTGGTTCAGGAAAAATATAAAAACTAGAAAGAAGTCATAGTTAAAGGGACTGAACATGGGAGAAGTGATGATACAGAGAAAAAGCAACAGCCCCAGATCATGCAGATCTGTCACTATGGGCTCCACAACAGCTCTCTTGCACCATCTTTCCTCACAGTATAGAAAAACTGAGCCAGCAGGTTATTACTGACAGAAAAGGGCAAGATTAAAAACAGAAATTTGGTCTGCTGAGTGATGACTTCCATGCCTTTTCAGATTGCCTCTTTATTAAGAGAGAGTCAGAGCTCCTTTCAGCAATAAAAAAAAGAAATCACGTGCTCCCTTGCTAGATCATATGTCAGGCAGATCTCCAAGAAATACAGCCAAAAAGAAAGCAAAACCTTGACTGTGATGTATCACGACTAGACTGCCCCACGTCAAGAAAGTAAGTGGGAGCCTACTCCTTCCTAGACTTTTGTATTTTGACTTCAAATAGACCACATGTGAAAGGGAAGTTCTGAGACTGGGGAGGGGAATTTTACAGTGCGATGTTTCATCTCTCCTTTGTGATTAGAGCTGTATTTTACACTCAAGCAAGCTATTCTAGTAAGACAACCCCTCCCCCTCAGACAATATGCAAAGGGCTGATCTCCAGCTAAGAGAATGAAAATTAATAAATGTAGTCTTCAGAGGAAAGGAAACAGACCATATTAGATGCTTTTGGAATAGAAATGATAAAAAATGCATCTACTGCATAGAGTTTATTTTAAAAAAAATTATAAAAATGCAACAATGAGCAACATAAGTCAGGATAACAACTGATGAAGTAAAAGCAATAAGCTTCAGGGCTTTAAAAGGGAAAAAAACCAGCTAACAACCCGTGGCCACCTGAGGCTGGAGAGATGCTTCTCATATAAACCGATTAATACACAATGGCCAATGACAGGCTCTTATATCTTTCTCTGAAGCATCTGGCCCCAGACATAATGAACTACTGGTCTGACTTGGTACAGAGTTGTAAAGTCATTAATGATAAAATTATGGGGCAGATCCTCAGCTGGTGAGCCCGCCAGTTCTCACTGATTTCTATCAGCACTGTGACCATTCACCCTGGCCCGGGGCCTGCCCTGCACTACTAAGCTATACAGTGATAATCAGGATACAACCAAGTTTTGCATATAAAAACCAAAAATGAGGCTTCCTGCTTCAACTACAGATTAATTCCATTACCTGAGATCCTGTCAGAACAACAGTTTTACCCAGGTTCTCACACATGAAGGATAAGGCTGAAGCTGTATATGCCATAGTATCAGTACCATGAAGGATCACAAAACCATCGTACTTTTCATAGTGCTCCTGGAAATGGAGAGACAGTTTTCACACTGTTAGAGCAATGCACTGGCACCAGCAAGTGAGGTACATAGTACATTAATTTCACTGATGCAGGCAACAGTATAATACTTGGAAGGGTCCTGCACACATAATTCCTCCTAAAGTTACCTTATTTCCAGATTAAATAAAATTAAGGGTGAATAGGTCACTAAGCACTAGAGCCAGTAATTCTAATTATGGAACAGTCAAAGAGATTCTTCCATGTATACATATTAATGTAGCATTTTTAAACCAGAAGACTGCTAATTAGGAAAAGCTTAGCAATGGCTTTAAACAGGAATGTTAACACATGCAAATTAGTCGTACAGTCTGATTTCTTGTTGCCGCTTTTACTTTAGGGATTACACCATTTACAGGAACAGATTAGGCAAACCAAGGCTATCATAACATACAGATAAAAACAGTCCATTTAATCTGAGCGGCAGACAGGCAAACTGCCAGTGTCAGAGTGCCCTCTTCTGATGGAAAGTCATCCTTTCCGTAGCAGAAAGCAGTGAAGAGGCTTCTTGTTCATTAATATCCGTTCACTTGCTGGTTTTTGAGAAGTCCCTTTAGACTATAAAGCACAGGCAGATGTAAAAATGACTTTTTTAATAGTTTTAATCTACATACAATTCCACACAAGAGTTTTTTTAATGCAAACCCATGAATCACACAGCTCATCCTACTAGAATAAAGTCATCTGCTGGCTTTTGGAGGAAAAAGGAATTGGTTCCTCTAATTTAAGAGTGATGGACATAATAAATGCTGTAGTGAGAGACACTGATGTAATTTGGTAACATGGAAAGGACTACATAGCACTCTTAAGCAGATATATGCAGGGCCAGTGTGGAGGGAAAAAAGGATTAAATATAGAATTAAACAAGTTTTTCTTTTATTTACACTTCTTATGTCTCAGTAGGCACACACCCTTGGCATGTCCTGATAATAAGGTCACCTCCACACTCCCCTGTAGGTTTCTACTTGTCCTTTTGCTATTCCTTCACTGATACTCATGTCTACCTGTTGCTACCTGCTGGAAATTTCAGGGGATTTCTGCTTATCTCTAACAACTGAGCCAACAGAACAACTGCCAGTGTTGCAAGATCTTTCAGTAGACTAAATTATAGCCTGATGCAAAAAGCATGGTGCAGCTATTCACCAACACAGTAACAAGGTTCGTAGGTTTCCAGAAGGACCAAGATCACAGGAATAGCCACTTGTCCTCTCTAAATCAGTATGCCCACCAATGTTTTTAGCCTTATGAACCTTATTAGATGCAAAAGAACATAGTTTGGTTTTAGCTTTGTAATGTAAAAGATCAGACTGGCAATTAAGGAGACATCCCACAGAAACGGTCTTGGAATATTTCAGTGTGGAAAGTCATCAGCATGTTACAACTGTGCCAAGCACATGTCCAAGATGAACACAAAGTGGCAGTGTCTGTGCACAAGCTGGAGAGTTGAAGTTTCTTTTTTTTTTTTTTTTTCCTCTGAGCACTTTTAACGTGGACTACATGAACTGGACATTTCTACATAAGAGAGAAGCTGCAATCCGTGTACAAGAAATAAACACTTTTTTATTTTTTTTAATAAAAACTAATATGCCAGTAAGGAAGAAAGGCAAATTCTCTCCTGTTCAGCATGGGATTGTCTCCTTCTCTTGGCCCTGGGCTTTTCCCAGCTGCACCCCTGCTCCATCCTAGAGGCTTTCCACTTACACACCAGCTACACCTCTTCTTTGCCCTGGCAAGATGCATTTGATAGGAGAAGCAACCTCCCTAGTTTGGTGGTTTCAGGATTAGAGAGCCTAAAGGTGAAAGACTGTTACCAGGATCTTCAGCATCATTCCCCACATTATTAAACTGTTCACGTTCATTGCTACTGTGTGGTCAAAGAAGGGAATTTACACTATAAAGCCCCACTATCGCAGAGAGAGCAGGAGGGGAAGAGCAGTATCTTCCTAGTCTCATAGTTATTTCTAACAGCTATTTATGAATTCCTGGTGTGAAGCATTTGAAGTGTTTTGCATTTCTGCTTTCTTAAAAGCACACAGCTAAGTTCAGACACGGGGACAGGAGCAGAGAAATGCTGATTTTTTTTAATCCGGAGAAGGTTGTCATGAATTTAACCACATATGCAGAAATATATAGGGCTTTAAACATGTCTCACTGTGGAAAAACCTAACATTTTTTCTACTGGTTGCAAAGTCAAAGCTACTCAAGTCCATATGTGTCCAGTGGAAGAGAGGCATGAAGATATGAATTTATTTTCTATGTCCGTAGCCAACTATTAAGCTATTTGAACATTCAAATGATGTGTAACTAAGAAACCCTCAATTAAGTTACCTACACTTAAGGATTTTATTCAACATTTTTTGACAGTGAATTCGAGTCAACATTTTAAAACACATCGACCTACATATTACATACCTTATTCAATTATGGCTGCAATTTTTCTCTTATTTTATTGTGTGGAATTATGGCATGGCTTATCATTGGAAGAACTATATAACTTTAAGGAATTTGCAACATTTTCAAAAGAAAAAAAAAATCAGCAAACCTTGCAAGCACAGTACTTGTTACTTTGCAAGTAACTAAGTAAGGTACTTAACATTTACATTTAAAGAAACATATATACATATCAGACTACTGAATTATCTTGCTCAGCATACTGGATATACTGCTGGCTTTAAGTGACAAATGAATTCTTATCCCACACCATAGTACCTCAAGTTTCTTTGCAATTTTGGCCCAGTCTTCTGGTGTCATGTTGGAAGAATCAAGTAGTGGTGAGAGCTCGAGGATTGTGTAAAAGATTCTTTTGTTTTGCTTGGAGACACTGTGAAGAAAGAGAATTAGAAAAAAAAATTCTTAGAATATCATCTCGTCACTTCTGATTTTTTCTTTGAATCATCAGATTTTACCCTTTTCCTCCCCATCTTCCAAATCCAGGTTAAAAAAAGGTCTTAAATTTGGAAATTAAATTCCAAGTTTAGAAGTTCATGGCTTGATGTGGTTTAAAGCACAAACACTTAAATTTAATTTAATAATAAATAAAATTTAGAAGGCAGAGAGGAGTTGTCAAAACTAAAGTCAGAAAAGAAGAACCTAGACTTACACTGTTTAAGTTTGTTACTGACTTGTAACAGAAGTTAATACGAAGCCTTAAGGTTTAAAAATGCTTCATAAGCTATTGAGAGGAATCTATAAAGCTCCTGATGTTCATAGGGGGGAGGCAAGAGAAGAGTTGCAACAAATTTCTCATCCTTTGATAAATACAGATACCCTATAAACAGATACTCCTTCCTGACACAAAGGGTATCTTAAGCGCTTTATGAGTAAGATTCCTTTTTGTAGCTTTTAGAAGATCCATTAATTTTTTCTGACCTCAGATTTCAGAATAAAACTCTCTTGGTTCTTCACATGAACTGTTGCCTTTGCTAGTAATAGGCTAACTTTGTAAAAGCCCAGTCCCAGACTATTAGACCTGTTGTCACCTTGTTAAGGAACTCTGCTCTGTGGTGCCAGCTATGCCTTCTTATGTGGAGTTTAAGGATGTGATAATATCAAAGATCTTAAAATACTGGCATAGGCTGAAAACAGAGACCTCAAGACCATAAACAACTCACTGGCGATCAATTACTGGCCACTGAACAAGTGCAACCTTGACAGCCAGGAAATGACTGCTCCAACTATAATAAAAACAAGCCTCAGCAACTACGCAAGGGAAAAAAATTCCAAACCAAACCAAAACCAGTCAGGCAACAGGATAAAGTACCTGTGGGGCTGAGGAATGTGACAATTTCAAACATCATGCAGTGTGTAGCCCAGCAGACAGAGACCAAGGATTAAAAAGTGTTTAGATACTCAAATATCTTACAAAAGTATGCAATCCCAAATTTGGACGTGACTTATCAAAGGCAATGGTGGCTATGGAATCACAGTGGATTGTCTTAGCTCTAAGCATGCTGTCTGCTCTCCTGCCTTCAAGGACCACAGCTCTCCCTTCCTCCACCTGCCTGTAACAAGAAATCTAACTCTTCAAAGACCTTTGATTTGGCATCCAAATGGACTGCACACAGAGCATGTGTTATACCCCACAGAAAATGCTGATTTCTCCACATTAACTTTCTAACCTCTCAGAATAAAGTCAACTACGTATAAATTCAATTTGGCAGTTTAGATTTGGGGTAATAAAAGAACCCTAGTACTAATATTTTCTGCTAACTTTCTGAAGCTTAGAAGATGAAAGAATATCCACCATTTTCACCCATTCTTAGATGAGCTGGAATATGTTTCTATTTCCAGATGTTGCAGCCAACATGCTGCATATTCTTGTAAAAAGTCCCTCTCCATCTTTCTTGCAAGCTCCCTTCAGGTACTGGAAGGCCAGAATTACACCACCCAAAGCATTCTCTTCTCCAAGCTGAACAAACCCAAGTCTCTCATCCTCATAGCAGAGCTGCTCCATCCCTCTCATCATCTTAGTGTCCCTCCTCTGGGCTTGCTCCAACAGCTCAATGTCCTTCCTGTGCTGAGAACCCCAGAGCTGGATGCAATGCTCCCAGTGGGGCCAGAGCAGAGTAGAGGGGCAGAATCCCCTCCCTGGCCCTGCTGCCCACACTGCTTTTGATTCAGCCAAGGATACAATTGGTTTCCTGGGCTGTGAGCACACACAGCTGGCTCACGTCCAGCCTCTCATCCACCAACACCCACAAGTCCTTCTCAGCAGGGCTGCTCTCAACCTGTTCATCCCCCAGCCTATGTTGATACTGGGCATTGCCCTGACCCAGGTGCACCACCTTGCACTTGGTCTTGTTAAACCTCATGAGCTTCCCATGGGCCCCATTCTTAAGCCTGTCCAGGTCCCTCTGGATGGCATCCCATCCTTCAGGTGTGCCAACAGCACCACCCAGCTTGGTGTCACCTGCGAATTTGTGCACTCAATTGCTTCATCTGTGACATTAAAGAAGATATTAAATAACACTGATCCCAATATGGACTCCTGAGGGACACCACTTGTCACTGATGTCCATCGGGACTCTGAACCAAGACCACTACCCTCTGGATGTAACCATCCAATCAACTCCTCATCCACTGAACAGTCCACCTGTTGAATCCATCCCTCTCCAGTCTCTCACCCAGGCACAGAGGTGGGGCTGACAGTTCAGTAGTTCCCAGGGTTCTCCTTTCTACCCTTTTTAAAGATGGGTACAATATTTCCCTTTTTTCAGTCATCTGAGGCTTCTAATAAATTCTTCAGACCCACTCCCTTATGAAGCCTGTAAGACTGTTACACAGAGCAGAGAGAGCATTTAAACAATGTGTTTAAACTGACATACTGTACCTAAGAAGTTAGACTTCACATGAAAAACTGCCTTGCTGGATATTACATTTACACATGCTAAGAGTAAAACTGGAAGTCAGATTGTAAAGAAAGCTCCCCTGAGAATGCACTCTCTAAATAAAACACAACATATCAACAGAGAAACCAGACTTGCCTACAACTTCTGATGCCTCTCACCAAAAAGAGAACATATAATTCCTCTTACATCAATGTTACACACAGATATACAAAGTTCACAAAATACTCCTATTTTCTCCCCTCAGGAACTCACAATATTTCTCAACCATCTAGTTAAAATATCACTTGGCTAACACAAAAGACAAAATGGCAAATTGCCATGACTAACCTCCAGAAACAGCACTCAGCAGTGCCAGAAAAACAAGACAAGATTGGTTTTTTAAACCTCAGGTTTTTGATGTGAATGACTGTTTTAAGCTTTTCTGTTCTTCATGGAAAAAATGTGCCAAGAGAAGTACCTTTAGGACTCATATTGGTATACTAGTGCAGTTTTGTTTTGTTTATAATCCCTTAAAGGATTTAAAAGTTATTCAAACACAGAATCATCAGAGAGCCCCATTTTTTCTTAGTGTAAGCATCGTATTTAACACAAACTATATGTTCCTATAAATACTACTGCACCAGGAGTCCATTAGTTTTCCCTTTACTGCTTTTCCTGCTATCTGCCTTTTAAGTGGTTACTTTTAAAAGCTTTACATAGAGACCTCAATACAAAGTAGAAAGAAATTATTAAACCTTACATTTTCTTTGAATCTCCTGGTTTTCTCTTTAAAGATTAATGAATATTCATTTTCACTCTTATAGCAAACCAGCTACAGTCCCATTTAGTTTTGAATGACTGTGTAAAATCATCCTTTGTGCAAAGCTAACATGTTTACAGGGGTACAGTCATTCATCACAGCTGGGGAATATTTCAAATTAGCATACTGCCCTCTAAACAAAACCTATACGCTTCTTAATCATTGTCCAACAGTTAAGAAGAAATGCAGATTAATTATAAGCCTATCGCTTATTATTATAATGTTGCATAAATTTGGGAAAAACAATCACCTTTTAGGGCTTTTAAAAACAGAAGGCCTGCAGAATTAAAGCATGAGGCCTATTCACACATGCATTGATTACATGCTACTTTTTCAGACATATGCTGAAGATAATTCACATGGAGCTATATGTAGCTTTCTTAGTTTCTGTAGAATATTTGTATGTTTGCACAGCAGCAAATTAATACGAAAAACAAGGGAAAAAATGCAGAACTAAGCTGCCCAGAATGGTTAATTGCTGCCTAACTTAAAAGTTACTTCTCAGGCAGTTCTAGGGCACTTCATTGCAAATATACCAAAACACATATTTTCTATCATGTCAGACATGGTAGACTTTTTCCTTTTAAGCCAATATAAGCATTTTTGCTAATCTCATCATGGATTCTTCATGTTAAATATCTGGACATGTGATTATCTGAAAATTAACACAATAATTCCTAACCCTCCCTCTCCCCAAGGAAATTATACTTACGGGAGCACCAACGTGTTCTCTGGAAATTCATGGGAGTTGTTCAGTTTTGTTTCCTGGGTATATGCCTTATCATGCAGCATCGGCATTTTTTTCAAGCTGTTTACTAGTTTATTGGCCTCAGGAGCAAGTCCTTAAAAATAAAGAATAAGGGAAGTAAATAAAGGAGCAGGGATGGAAGGAAGCAAATGGCACAGTAAGGAGGGAAGAAGTTACACAGCAGTTTGCCCATCCTTCCAAATTAAATTTAAATAGTCTACTGCCAGTTTAAAAACATGAAAATTGGACATAACTAATAAATATCCATGCAGTTATCCTTCTCTTGACTTGAAATAAATCCTTTATTTAAGAAAAATAATGTTTCAGATCTCCTCCATATCAAATATTTATGCTTTCCCTATTTTTAATTGCTGCTTGTCTGCAAATACTGATCAGCAACAGGGACAGGAAGCCAATTTTTGCAACTATAGCAGAAAGCTACTATTCTTTCTTACATATCCCATAGCTATTATTGCTATTACTATTACTTCTTAGTGGCAAAAGACTTACAAAGCACTGAGCATTGTTTTGTACTATCAAGTTGTGATACATACGAGATACTTTCCACTAGCAGGTTTAGGACTGAACATCTCAACTGACAAGATGTAGAGAAGGTGCATAAACTGCTGAATAGAAAAAGCTGGAAGCGTGGATGCATCTCAAGCTCTGCTCACCCTCTCCCCTCCTGTGACTGGGCTCTGCCCCTCTGTGGCAGGGGCCTTAAAACAGCTGAGACTTAAACTAGCCTAAGAATACAGTTAGTGCTTGGTGGACCCTGCAGGTGTCCTGGCTGCAACCAGGTATTTTAAAAGGTGCCTGTACACCATTCCATATCAGCCAGAAAGGCACCTGATTTTTTGATGTTACAATCCTCAGCATCATAGAACTGAGTTCACTTGTGAATCTAACCTGCATCCCCCAATACCCTGCTTCAGGAATAACAGTGACAGTCCTGGCATCCAGAATCAGAAGACACCCTGTTTTTCTGCAGTGTGACTTTTTGGGATGTTTTTCGTTCAAGGAACTTTTATCAGAGATACTCCCTTCTGGACTTCAAGATTCTACTGGTGTTACTGTCAAGTTCAGTTTAATCTCAGTGAATGTGTTTCATACTACCTGTTCAGATGGGGAACAAACTGTCAAACCTTATTATTCTACTTCTGGTAGTTCTACTTATTTCTAATTTGAAGCCAGGCAATTCCCTCCTACTTCCTAGTTCCGTTTCTTTAAACATAACTCTCATCCAAGTTAGCATCTGTATTTTTTTGCCTCACCTTCAAACAGCAAAGTTTATTTTAAGTAGTCCAAAACACAGAGACTATTTTCAATAGTATTTTTATCTTTTTCCGCTTACCTTCCAAGCTGATGGAAAAATCTTTAAGAACTCCCTAATCTCCCTTCTGGCTTGCCTTAAATGAAGTAGCAGGCCTCTTCATAGCCAACTTCCTCACAGGACAGCAACAGCATTTGAGTGGATTTGTTTGGACTCCTGCCAGAATTCTCTGTTTTACAAAATATACTTAACACACTTTCAAGCTTTGGGTGTTTCATTCATTCAGCTATAATCCCTGCTTTTCCTATTAAAGATGTTCCTAGCTTAGTCACAAATGGCCACTTCTGCTGCACTTGGGCATAGAGTCATTTTGGCTCAGAAATGCAGCCCAGTTTCAAGTGTTTCCTGGGTGTTTTCTGATTATTCTTCTGCTTGTCCAGTGTTATCTTGCTCTGAATACTGACAATGGATTAGACTGTTTATTTTTTGTATTTGCCACAGGAACTGGAGAGCTGATGCACATTACTTTTCTTTAATCCCTTCTCTATAAATGGCAGTTTCTCATCTCTTAATCACTGATCTGTCAGGATTTTTCTCTAATTGCTTGCACTGAACGTAAACTTTTTTTTTTAAGATGTTCTGCAGATGTATCCAAGATGACCCACTTACAACCTCTGCAGTCCCCTACGTGCATCCGCATCTAGCAGTGCTCTCTGCTTTACAGCAGAGAAGCAAACATGGGGGAACTCAAGTGCAACTGTTTTAAGAACACTTCTACTTTATTATGCATGGAAAACAACTTTTGTGAGCCAAGCTTGTTAACCAAGTATTTGAAGCAACTTCACCCCTGCAGAGAAGAGGTAGGCTGTGCGACTTGACCAAAGAGCTCTCATCAGCTTCTGTCCTTTCCCTCTTTAGCTGGCCAGCCCGGGCATCACAAAGCGGCCAGACAAAGGCAGAACAGCAAACAAGCACCTGTGGCCAAGGAGAACAATCATGGTTCTGTGCCACCGACAGTTGAGGTCTCTGCTTTTCACCCTGGTGCTACAGATAACACAGTTATAGCTACCTGCCAAACGAGACATCCTACAACCTGTGCTGCTGCAGAGAACAGGGAGCTGAAAAACCCTGATGCAGTGGGACTCTGCACCCAAGAAGCCACAGGTGCTTGGGAAGAAGGACCATCCTGTACATCAGCATGCTGAAGTTATCCCCCAGTCCTAACAAACTCACCACACTGAGGAATGCAAAGGACATTGCTATGCCAGTTTTGACCTATGTAAGATCAATAAAAACAGCATGTACGTCTATGGTGCCACATCCCAAAATTAAAAACTACATCTTGCAAAGGCAGAGAAGCAGAAAGCATTGTCCAAAATATTCATTTCGGCAGGTGTAGTCTTTGGAGCTTTCAGAAATGAGGTACACAGATTTCTAAGAGGAAAAGGTTTGGACTACAGAAGCCAGTCCTTTGGCAACCTAGTATGTCTAGAAGAGACAGATAAATAACTAAGTTACCTAGGCAGACTCTATTTCAAGATAAGTAATCTTTCTAAGGGTATTTAGCTTAGTTCTACTTGGATTTGTTGGGTGCTTTTTTCATTAGTATTTCAGGTAAAAGCCAGGAAAGAGATCCAATCCACACACCCAAGGAAAAGATCTTCCTGAAGGCACCAGCCAGGACGAGCATGAGCACAAACTTGATGGAAAGATCAGTATCACAATAACCTCACCATGGAGTGCGGGAAGATTGTCTTTTTGAAATGCACTCCTGATAAGCCAAAAGAAACTGCTGTAGGAGGAAATAAGTAGGAGGAAGACACTTTAAAAATGCACTGAAGTGGCTTGATGCGACCAGACATGCCTATCTCGTACTGGCCTTTTTAGCCACCAACGCTCTTGCAACCAACGTTGGAAGGGTGCAGCCCTTCCCAAATCTTCGTTCGCGAAGCCCAGCCATGACGATGATGATGATGAAGTGGCTTGACAGCAAATCATGAATACTGAGACTGTCTGCTCCTAAGTCTGGTTGTCATCCAACTCAAACTAACTATTCATCCTCTGAAAATTACTCCTGAGCAGGTAACCTGTAAGTGTGCAGAAAGTCCAACTGGTTCAAGACATGCTGGAGCTGCCAGATGTGTACAGGTCAACTGCAGAAACTCTGCAGGAGGTTTACAATCAGATATCATGTTGATAAATGACTGCTCCACACATGTACAATGAGCCCAAGGAATGTGATTCTATGGGTCTTGTATATGGGGGAAGTTCTGTACAGAAACATATTCCTTGCAGAACACATCAGGCCTATCAAACCTGTCTGATTTTAAAGAGTAATCCATCTTCTCTCAGAAACTGAAAAGGCTACAGGAAACCTTGTAAGCCTAGACAAACATTAGTTAGGTAGAAACCTAGCTTGATCCCTTGACTGGTAGCAGTTGCTGCTACAAAAGGCTTTGTGCAGCTCGAGGAAGCTAATTCTGTTCACACTGCTTGCAATAAAACACTTGTAACTCAAGGTAGGATTGTAAACAGGCATTTTCCATCCACAGGTTAATAAAAGAAATGAGCATCTATAGTATTTGTTTTTCTCTTAAAGCATGCTGCCTTTCCCATGCCCTTTCACCAGCCTCTGAACACTAAAGACTGCCAAATATTCTGAAAGAGGTACTGTGGCTGCTCTGCAGCTAGATCTGCGTATGAAAAGCAGGTCGAAACCGTCACCAGGATACAGCAAGTCAGCATCATTGAATCATAACTGTTAAGACTGTTTGCACTTGCTTTAATGATTGACACTTGTTAAGCAAAAGTAAAAAAAAAAAAGACATAAAAGATGAGAGGAAGTTATAAAGTTCATCTATAAAAGAATGAGACATGTGATTATAATTTGTTTGCTTAAAGAGTCATTTGGGAAGCTGAGGCAATAAAAGCAGGATATTATTTTAGCATACACAATGCAAACTGAGAAAGGAAAGTCACCACATAATTTGAAATATGGACTTTTTTTACCACTTTGATAGATTAAATACAAAGATGACAGCTATAAAAAAAAAGGCAGAAAAACACTTTAAAGCATCTTCCCTACAATAATAAGAAGCAGCCAATCACCATCTTCTGAGAAGAAAGGACGTGTTAGAAAAAAAAATCAAGTCTAGGAAGCTCCAAGATGAAGTGCTGAGTGTACTCATTCTACAGATGAGCAGCAGAGACCGTATTTCAGGCAACTCTGTAGTAGGGATCACAAGTACCTACACTTCTGAATCCAGATAGACACAGGCTCTGGAAGGCCTGGGATGCTCCACTGATTTCCAAGTGAAGGAGGGAAGAAACTAAATAGATATTCATCAAAACTGGACTGATTCCCTCTCACTCCCACTCCTTACATTACACTGTTTTCCTTTAAAACAATGCTGGCAAATGCACAGCCCTACAGCAAGTCAGACTTGACTGAAATCCATTCTTTTCCCTGGACACATTTGTTATTTGATGCTTCTGTCATCCCTTAGGACCTGTGCCTACTGAGTGAGGGTCTAGTGGTGCTTAGGTACCACTCCAACCAGCTTCTGGACTGGGGTCCTGGGCAGGTATCAGGTGAATTTTGGGCACCTATTTGCTGACATTTAGGGGCACCTGAAAACACACGGCATATACAGGTAGGTAACTAAGAAGCCTTCAGATAAAATGGAGTCAGTGTACTGATATATCTCAGAGTTCAGATTTGGATTTAAACATGTTTCAGCTGGTGGGAGGAGGTTTGGCATATCTAGCCTTCTCATCAAGGTAAGTCTCCCCCTCCCTTGGTAAGGTAAGGCAAAACTCTTCAGTGATTTCCTGAAAGAAGCAAACTGCTGGTGGGAGAGCAGCAGAAACCTGCCCCAAGGCAGGTGAACACTGACGCTGCATCTGATCCCGCTCATCCTGACACTTGGCAGCATGTTCGCTGCCACGCTCGCATCAGCTGCCAGGTCACCACCGGAAAATCCCTGTCACGGGCACCAGCTCCGGCGGCCCACGCTCTTCCCAGCAGGAATGCCAGGCACATGCTCTCTGGGTGGCCAGGGACAGTGGCTCATTTAAGCCTAAAAACAGACTGCATGACTAGTACGGTCAGGTTGGTTTCATTTTCAGTGCGCGAAGGAGGGCAGAAAGGACTCACGCTGCAGGAAACGCGTTGTCCCCTGCCAAAACCTGCTCCAGCTTAGCTGTGAGGTTACAAGGATGCCCGTCAACTGAGCTCCGGAATTAACCAGCTGAGGGGAGCAGGGGATTAGAGGAAGGCTCGCACCCTTCTGGCACAGTGACCAGAACCCCGGGATGCTGCACCGCGCTGGGTGCCCCCACAGTCACAGCCCAGCCCAGCCCCGCTCCCCCGACACGCTCCCCACTGCCCGGCCCCTCACCCTTGGCGTCCTGCACCATGCCGATGGTGCCGCCCGTGTTGATGACCAGCACCCGCGCCTCGGCCTTGGCGGAGGGGGCCGGGGGGCAGCCGCATCCCGCGGGGCGCTCCCCGGCCAGGGCTCTGCTGAGGGAGCGCGGCCGTCCCGCCGCTGCCGCCTCCATCCCTCGCCGCAGGAACCGCTACCTCCCGCCCGCCCGGACAACGGGGCGGGCGGGCGGGCGGACGCCGGGGCCGCCCCTTCCCAGGGGCGGGGAGAGCGGCCGTGCCCGCCCGCCGGAGCTCCGAGGGCTCGGGGCGGCTGTGCGGTGCTGCCGGGGGAGAGGGGCCGGGCCGGGCCGGGCCGAGGTAGCCCCGGCACCACCCCCTGTACTTTGCGCCGCGGGGCAGCGCCAGCCCCGGGGGAACGTCAGAGTCCTTCATGCTTGAAGGAGAAGCGAAGAGAAGCGGCGCGCTGTGGGCTCGGGGAGGACAAGGGGGGGACACACGGCTCGGGGTCAGCCCGGCGAGACCACCTGCGTCGTCCCCTTTCCTCCACCCTGGGGAGGAAGGTGGGAGAGTCCCCTGTTTACCGGGCCTCAGAGGTGACTCGTGCCTGCCTGAGCAGGCAGCGTGGCACGGACAGCACCGCTGCTCTCTCCATTTCAAGGTTCCTAATCTGCTCCCTCGGCTTTCAACCCTGATTTTCTCGCAAGAGAGGACTGAGTTTCCACCTTCAGGCTGCGCATCCAGCCCTGGGCTAAAATGTGGACAGCCACGTACCGTAGTGCCTGCTAACACCTGTACCACAAAACATAAGGGTTGTGCAGGAAAGGTCTCAATGTGCAAAGAGAAGAGATGGGGGTTTTCTGACCCTGCAAAACCACAACTTATTCAGACTGATCTCTTACTTAATCAAGTATCCATATGCAGTCCTCTCCTTGTAGTCTGGCAATATTATCATAGGATAATAGAATGGTTTGGGTTGGAAGGGACCTTAAAGATCATCTAGTTCCAAACTCCCTGCCATGGGCAAAGATGACCACCACATCAGGTTGCTCAGCCCACAAGCTCCTTTATTGGAGCTCTTCTGTCCCTTGGAGGACATTCACTCTCAAGGGCTTGTATTTTTTGGAAACCTGTGACCACACAATGGTTCTTGGTATAGCCAGATCCAATCTGCCATTGTGAGAGATAACTTCTGTTTCTCAACAGTCTTGACAAAAGTGCTCAGGGTAAAACAAGCTAAAGGTCAGCAGAGATGAGCAGTTGTGCATAGGACAATACCATCTCTACCTATGTAGCTGGGACCTCTGGAAAAAGAAGTAAAAGAGGAGGGGAAGGCTTACTACACCAACCTCAGAAGCTCTGAATATTTTTCTGTTTAATCCTGATGATCACCTCTGCTGTCATTTGCCTTATCTGCAAAAAGTTGGTTATCACCAGGAGCTGAATACCATGATCCTGAAATGGACTTTTTCCACGCAGCAGGGTTACTTTAGAGTCTCTGCTGATGCAGAGAAGAGCATTACGGGAATAAGTTTAGGAAACAGGGACAAATATATCTACTTCATTTTAGTGCTCCATAGCCCTGGTGATGGTAACACTGTAGTAGTGTCATCAAAATAGATGGAGTAATGCTGAAATTTATATGGCTGTAGGGAAAAGCGATATCTTCCAGTCTTACCATACCAGCAGTTCCTCCAGTCCTTAGTACCTATGAAGCTGAACTGGTGAGAAAAGTGTTTATTTGTAATAAATATCACAACAGAGAGAGTGGTGAATCACCAGCTTAGGGCGCAGAAGACTCATCTCCATCCTATTCTAGACTGTAGGCGTAACTGAGCTCCAGTTTATATTTCACCTGTTTGTTACCAATTATGTGCTAGCCATTTCTCAAATCTTTCTGTCTCCCTGTGACAGTCTTCCTAGGCTTTGAGGCATACAAGGCAACCTTTAACTCAGGTGCTTCAAAACAGAAACATTAAACTTCAAAACTAAACACAAATTTAGGGTTTAGTGTCTAGGTAAAGAATAGCAGAAACCTCTGGATTAGAAAGCAATTTTGCAGGTAAAGGAAGTGGGGAGATGGAATGAAAAAGGTGATGTCAGGTATTTTAAAGAAAAAGCTAGAAATGTGTACCTTATAGACTAGAACTTGAAGAGGTTAATTGTGGGAAGGGAGGCAGATTAAGGTCTGATATAAAACAAATTCTATTAAGCCCTGTATTGGTGTCAAGTTCAGCTACTGGTTTTACTTGGAAAGTATATGGTAGTTTCTTTTGAGGATCAGGTATGAGATCAAATATAAGGAGGCTGAAGTTGTTTTCAAGGAAGTCTGGTAAGTCTTGAGGTCATGAGATTTATTATTACTGGCCAACTATAAAGCAAAATTAGCAAAGTAACTGGCTAAAACACAATTAACTGGTTACTGAGGACAGCAACTGCTGAGAAGCACAGTCTGCATGAGCTGAGAACTACCTGCCACACAAGTACCTTGAGGCTAAACATGTCACTTAAGTGCCTGAGTTAGTCAGTAAGTCAAAGTGAGAACATGCTTCGTGTAGGGAAATGGCAGAGATTTTTGGCTCCAGGTCATATGAACTTAATTTGTACCCTGTACTGCAACTTCTAAATAAAATTTAACTCAATTTGAAGGTAAAAATAGATATTATGGGATGGTCCAAGCAATTTCTTCTGCTTCCAATTCCTACGACTTACCACTCCAACAGAAATAAAGTTTATGTACTCCCTCCAAGTTGTTAATCTCTCTCGTAGACTGGGTGGCCCAAAACGTGGCACAGAATTCCAGGTGTTGCCTCACAAGTTCCAGGTGGAGAGAAGTAATCATTCCCCTGTATCTGCTGGCTGTAACTGTCCTGCTAGTGCAGCCCAGCCTGTTCACTTTGATCGCTGCAAGTCCCATTTACTGCCCCATATTTATTTAACTTGCCCATAAAACCACCAAGCCCATTTTGCACAGCTGCTATTTAACTTTTCAGTCTCCAGCCTGAACTGATTTATGCAGCTATCATGTCTCAAGTGCAGGATTGTGCACTTGGCTTTGCTGGATTTTACAATGTTCCTATCAGCCATTCCTCCAGCCTGTTGAGATCCTCCTGCCTTGCATTTCAGGTTGGACCATTATTCTGCTTTTATTTTTTCCCTAATGATCAGTCAGCTCTTCTGGGCTCCTTTGCACTTCACAACAGCCTCCCAAGATATCTTGACATTTAAACCACTGAGGAGGCCAAAGTCTGCTTCTCAAAAGTTAGAGCCTTCAGTCTACTCTGTCTCCTCCTCACTTCTGGACTGTGAAGGCCAGTTAGTAAAACACGTCTTGTTTGGCTTGCACCCAGATATACCCCAGAACTGCTTGATTCCAAAGTAGCAGATATTTTGTAATACCTGTTTGCTTTTCTTTGTTGCAAGAAATAAAGAACCAAGAACTAAAGACAGCAGCGATTGCAGCCAACAGCTCAGCATCAGACCCATGGTATCATATGCCCAATAAGGCTTGACTAATGTTTGATTAATGCTTAATTTTTAGTTAGTAACAGACGGATTACTTAGTAGCTGCAGCATAAAATAATGCTTGTTTATTTGAGAGTCACCTGCTGTGTCAGAAAAATCTCCACCATGGCAGTCCCTGCTTCCCCGGTATTAAGAGCTGTACCTTTTCCTCAGGGATCCTAAGTGCTGCTATCTCAGCTGCTGCTGCCCTTGACTGTCATTCCCTGACCAACTCCCTCTTGTTTGTGAGTAGCACATCCAGGAGAGCATCTCCTGTATTCAGCCTGTCCAGCACCTGTGTCAAAATAATTGTCCTCAATGTCCGTAAAAATCTCATGGATTGCTCATCCCTTCTCCACTTTGCCCTGTCAGATGATGGGGTTGTCAAGTTTTCCAGGAGAACCAGGACCTGCAATCAAGTGATGGCTTCTCCCTAGCTGAAGGGGGCTTTACCCACCTCCTGTCCCTGATGAAATGGCCTACAATAGGAAAAGATCACGAGATTGGCTTTGCAGCCCTCACTGTGATCCTGACTAGAAAGCTCTCAAAAATGTAAACCTTAGTCCATAGCATTCCTTTACAGAGAGCACAAATCCAGCCCTCACCTTGCCATTTCTGTGAAGTAGCACTTGTATCCAAGCGTTGCAATAATTCCTTCACATGAACTCTCCCATCATGTCTCTGATTCCCACAGCATCCCAATTTTTCAGCTGCACAGAGATATCTAGTTTCTCCTGTTGGTTTTCCAACCTGCGTCCATTGGAATACAGGCACTCGAGGCAGGTGCTTGGTTGTCCAACTTCCTCGGAGGGGAGAGAACCCTGTTGCCCTCTCCAGTGTATGCTACCACTGATGGACCTGACTTGAAGGCTCCCTCAATAATTTTGCAAGCCCATTGACAGAGATGTTGCTGCCCACCTGTCACACAGAAGCCATCTCTGGTAGTCCTGTTTCCCCAGACTCGGACTTCTGGCTGTAGAAATCCAAGTCCTGCCAGCAATACCTGCCACACATGTGGGTGTTACAATCTGCAGAATGTTTGCCCTAGCCCAGGTCATTCTCTTTGACCAGGAGGAAGAAGGAAAATGTCACCCAGGCTCCCATCGCTGCTGCTGATTCTAAGAAAGCTGAAAACTAAAGGAATTTGGGGTGGTTTTACTAAAATAAAGAAAAAAAAGGGTTTAATGCAATGCACAGGATAAAATATGTCTGTAAGTGTAAACTGGGGACTCAGTTCCCCCTGGGTATCACTGCAATGATGCTGAAAGTGAATTTTGGAAGTGGTAAATCAGTGAAGATTAACACAATTGCAAATAGATGGTTTTAGAACACTATATTTGCAATAAATGTCAGTATACAGAGCTCTTTAGAAACCACTTCATGTGAAACAAGTGTTTCCCAGATGTTTAAATTAGTACTTTCCAGCAATACATTCCAAGTCATGTCTCTCATAGAGCTCTCAATGGGCTTTAGCATGAAAAATTTACAAGACCATAATTAGGGCTATTATCAGGATATCTGAAATTTAGCTTGTGCTCATGTGACAAGAAGTAAGAATAATTCTAGCATAAGATAATTGCCTTTTTCACTGGATAGTAACCCACAGAATTCCTCATAATTCAGAAAAAGGACATTACAAAAGGGGTCAGCGACATCTATCTCATGAAAAAGACCAGTCATTTATTTGGATTGGTTTAGGTGAAATAAGTACCTGGTAG